GAGAATATCTAGCAAAATTACATTTACCCTTTGTCTCAGCCATGCCATATCTAGAAATCTGTTCCAAAGACAACCTTAGCAAAATATGGAGAAAGGTAGCTGCATGAAGCTATTCATTGCTGCACTGTTTGTATTATTAAAAGACTGGAGGACCAGCAGATAGCTTGGAGGTTAAGGCATTGGATCCTACATGGTCAATTTCATGGTTCGAATCCTGGACCCGGCAACTTTAAAATCACACTGGGCGCGTATGCCCAAAATTCCGAGTAGAGTGGAAGAGAAGGGATTATGGAGTAGTTACCCCTTACCCCTGGGGTGGTGGTGGTGATGGTGGTGATTTCTCACCGTCTATCTTTCTCTCTTTGTTTCTGTGTGGTGAGCAGACATGCCCTATAACAAACCAAAAAATAAAAAGCACTGTGGTGTTTGAGTTGGCAAGATTGAGACAGTAGGAGATTTCAGAACAAACTGCCTGTTTTTTTCAAACTACAAGGAAAAATAAAAAGGGAGGTAAGGCTTAATAGAGTAAAAGAGACTGTGAGGATGCTGCAGATGGCGTAGGGTTAAGGTGTTACATGCCACGTGGCCAACCAGAGTCCTGGACCTGGCAGGTGGAAAATCATACCCAGCTTGTGTTCATGTGTGTCCACAATCCTGATAGGAGAATGGAGGAAAAGGTATTGTGGTATGGCCATTCCCCTAAGGGGTGATTACTCCCTTTCCCTCCCCCACTCCGCACACATCCTGTGCCCCCCAAAAAGCAAAAAGAGACACACATATCAACTGATTAGAATGTACGGACCTTATTTACATACTGATTTGAATAACCAATGTCTAAAAATGTGTTGAGACAGTTGGAGAAATTTGAATACTTACTGGATATTTGATGATTAATTGTTAAAAATGTAAGGTTTGGGACCAGCAGATGATGTAGTGGTTACATAGCTGAACTCCCACATGGCCAACCATGGTTCAAGTTCTGGACCTGCTGGCGTCAAATTCAAGCCAGGCAGGGGTGTGTGCATGCCCAAGATCTGGAGAGGAGAATGGAGGAAAAGGGATTGCAGTGTGGCCTCCCCTCTGGGGGGCTAATTTCTCTCCAGGGAACACACATGCCCTATAGCAAAAATCTCTCCTCCCTCCCCCCCCAAAAAATTAAGATTTAATGTTTGTATATGCCTATGGTTTAAAAGAGTCTTTGTCTTTTTACCAATAATATGTTGAAGTCTTCATGGGTAAAAGGATATAATGTCTGTAGGATTTGCTTTAAATAAATCTAGGGATGCCTAGTGGTTAGGGAACAAATGAAATAAGTTTGACCATAACTTGATAATTGTTGAGATCAAACCTAAACTAACACGAGTATTATATATATATTAAGTTTACTAACAAGAAACTTTATTTTGAAAGAATTATTTAATTTTATTTATTATTATTTTAATTTGACCAGAGAGAGGAAAGTGAGAAAGCAAGCCACCAGGTTTAGAGCTCAAACTGGTTGACCATGTGGGAGTTCAGCGCCTTAACCCTATAAGAAACTTTTTAGTAGATCAGAATAGTCAAAAACTGACATAGTAACATGGGCCTGTAATCTTAGGTATTTGGGAGGCTGAGACAGGAGGATCACATGGTCAAGGCAAGCCTGAGTAATGTAGTAAGACTCTCTTCAAAACAAACCTGGACCAGCATATTGCATAATGGTTACGTTGCTGGACCCCATGTAGTTGACCGGTATTAGAGTCCTAGACTCAGCCATTTAAAACACACTGGCCTGTGGCCATCCTTCTTGGGGGTGGTTTCTTGCTTTCTATCTCTCTGGTAAGCACATGCACCCTATAGCAAAAATCTCTCTTAAGACAGAGAGACAAACCGGGGCCAGCAGTGGCATGGGGTAGTGGTTAAAGGTGCTGGACTTCCACATGGCCTACTGTGGTTCAAGTACTGGACCTGGTGGCTTGTTTTCTCTCTTTCTCTCTTTCTGGGGAGTACATGTGCCCTATAACAAATTACAAATAATAAAAAGAACAATGAAATAAATCTTAAAAAGAAATTAAAAACCAAAAAAAACAAGTGCTGAAGATACTAACAATGACACATTGATGTTAGGGAACTACTGTTCACTTTTAAAAGTCTGATGACATGGCTTTATATATACATATTTTATATCTATATACATATGGTTTTATCTGTATGTATTTATGTTTTATGAATGTATATGCATTTATGTTTATGTGTGTGTATAACATATATATGTGTTCATTTTCTTTTAAAGAGAGATTTTTGTGCCTGGTGTGTTTTTTAATCCACTGTGTCTGGAACTTGAACCACGTGGTCAGCCACTTGATATATGACTGGCTCCCTTAACCACAAGGCCATGGGACCTGTCTGACATGATTCTATTTTTAAAACAACCCTGTCAATTCTTTTTGAAATTTTTTAGTTTTGCTGTAAGTCACATGTGCTTGACAGAGAGAGTGGGAGAGTGAGAAATCATCCCCCAGAGCAGATCACCATATTGCAATCCCTTTTCCCTTGGGATTTGTGGCACACACGTACATGCACTCAGCATGTTTCTCAAGATGGGGATTTGAACCACAGAGTTGGCCACGTAGAAGTCCAGCACTCTTAACCACCATGCCACCTGCCAGCCCCAGTATACATATCTTAAGGTAAATAATTCAGTGAAGTGATGAGGTGTAAGAATATTGGAAAAATAAGATCTATGAATCAGTAATTATGTATGTATGTATTTATTTAGAGAGTTTTGCTATAGGGCACGTGTGCTTGCCAGAGTCCAAGAGAGACAGAAAGCAGGAAATCACCCCTCCCTCCAGGGGGATTGACCACATAATAATCCCTTCTCCATTCTCTTCTCATGATTTTGGACATGCATACACACGTGCCTGGTATTAGTTTGAAGCTGCCAGGCCTAGGTCTTGAACCACAGTCGACTCCATGGGAGTCCAGCAGTGTAACCGTTACACTGTCTGCTGGTCCTAGTAATGAGGTATTGTTAAGGTTTTTACCATAGGATATGTGCACTTGCAGGAGAGAGACAGAGGGAAAGTGAGAACTCGTTCCCCAGCAGAGATGGCCATGCCACAATCCCTTCTTTTCCATTCTCTTCTTGGGATTTTGGCACACACCTGCATGTACTTGGCATGATTTTCAACCTGCCAGCTCCAGGACTCAAATCACTGTCGGCCATGTAACCACTACGCCACCTGCTGGCCTGCAAAATACTTTTTGTGTGTGTGTGGGAGGGGTAGAGGTTTTTGCCTTAGGGCAACGTCACTATGCTGCAGCCAGAGAGAGATTGTGAGAGGAAAAGTGAGAAATCACCCCCCCCCCCAGGGGAATGGCCAAATTTAATCCCTTCTTCTCCATTCTCATCCTGGAATCTTGGGCATTCGCAGACTTATGCCTGGCATAAGTTTCAAGCAATCAGTCTGGGACTAGAACTGCAGTTGGCCATGTGGAAGTACTGCGACGTACTCACTATGCCATCTGTGTCCCAAAATGTTGACTCCTATTCATCATACCATCGTTATTTCCCTTAATGTATTACTGCTCCATAAAAGATTTTTTGGCTCCTGGCAAGCATTTTTTATTCTAATAGTTATGTGTTCATTTTAACATTACTTTCCCCCCCCCAGAAATTTTTGCTATAGGGTAGGGTGTATGCACTCACTGGAGAGACAGACAGAGAGAATGCAAGAAATCACCTCTGCCCTGGGAGGCTGACCGTGCCTCAGTCCCTTCTCTTCCATTCTCTTCTTGGGACTTTGGGCATGCACACACACACACACACACACACACGCGCGCGCGCGCCTGATGTGAGTTTAATCTTCTGGGTCTGAGACTCGAACTGTGATCAAATATGTGGGAGTCCAATGATGTAACCATTATGCCATCTGCTTGTCCCACATTTAGTGTTACTTTCTATTTGTAGCATGAAAATCACTGCAAGTTCTAATTTTAAAATAAATTTGAGTAAAAAATTGGCTTAGAAAGACCAGCAGATGGCATAATAGTTATGTCACTGGAATCCCACATGGCCAACCACAGTTTGAGTTCCAGACCCAATGGCTTCAAACTCACTGGGTGTCTGCTTGCATACTCAAGATCCTGAGAGGAGAATGGAGAACGGATTGTGGTGTGGCCATCCACCTGGGTGGTGATTTCTTGCTTTCTGTCTCTCTCTGGTGAGCCCACATACCCTATAGCAAAAATCACTTAAAATTTTTTTAAAAATCAGCTTAGAAAAAATATTGTGTAAATATTTGTAGAGTTCAGATATGACAAAAATCATGGCATGAGGATGAAGTTGGAACTTTTACTATGCTATAGCAATTCCACTGGTGAAGCAGAGCATTTCATAAGTTTTCCCTTATGCTCACTTGTGGTGGTGTTGTTTTTGAGAGGTTTTTGCTGTAGGGCATGCGCGTTCTCCAGAAAGACAGAGAGAGACAGACAGAAAATGAGAAATCACCCCCCGGGGGGATGACCACGCCTCAATCCCTTCTCCTCCATTTTCCTCTTGGGTGCCCCTCCACCCAGCGTGAGTTTAAGCCACCAGGTCTGGGACTCGAACCGCACTGACTACATGGGAGTCCAGCAGCATAGCCATTACGCCAACTGCTGGTCCCTGTCATTATTTTTGTGCTAGAGAGCACATGGGCTCACCAGAGACAGAGGGAAAGGAGAAAGCACCCTCCCTCCCCCATGAGAAATGGTCACACCATAGTCCCTTCTCCATTTCTTCATCCTGTCGGGCATGCAGCATGTGTTTCTCAACCCACTGGGTCTGGGACTCAAACTCTACAGTTGGCCATATGGGATCCAGCTGCCTTAACCACCGGGTCAAGATTTGTCCCACTTTATACTCTTAATATCCACATTTTATTACCTCTTTGGAGAAAAGTGTTTTGTGCATGTGTGTCTTCAAGGACTTTAACCTTTATGAGAAATTACAGAGGATATTTTTTATTGTGTTGCAGAATGTCATACCCAGGCTATCCCCCCACGGGCTACCCACCCTTCCCTGGATATCCTGTAAGTATTGACACTTACAATACTAAAATAATTCATGTCCTTAAAACAGGCATTATACAGGATTGCTCCTTGAGAGATCTTACAGAAAAGCTAGAGCAGGGGTCATGAACTCAGATGCCCAGAGATACAATGTAGAATGACAGTACTGATGGCAGGTATTGTCAGGGAACTAGACATGAGAAAGCTGGCAGCTACCCAGGTCTAACTTGATGTGGCCATGCAGACGGGCAGACCCAGTATTGTTAGACATTCCAATTTTTCTTTCAAAGTGTTTTGAGTTTGTTTTTGTTTTTAAGAGAGATTTTTTGCTATAGGGCACATGTACTCTTTGGAGAGGAAGAAAGAGACAGAAAGCAAGAAATCAGCCTCCAGGAGCGATGGTGATGCCGCAGTCCCCTCTCCTCCATTCTCCTCTTGGGATTTTGGGCATGAGTACACACATAACCAGCATCAGTTTTAAGCCGCTGGGTCCAGGACTCAAACTGTGGTCAACTCCATAGAGTCTGGCAATGTAACCATTACGCCATCTGCTGGTCCCAAGAATTTTTTACTATAGGGTGCATGCGCTCACCAGAAAGAGACAGACAGAAGTCTCTTCTCCATTCTCTTGGGATTTTGAGCATGCACACACAAACACACACTTGCATGAGTTTTAAGCCACTAGGTCTAGGATTCTAACCACAGTTGACTATGTGAGAGTCGAGCAACATAACCATTACACCATTTGCTGGCTCCTTTAAGTTTTCTTGTAAAGCCAGAATTTTATTTTATTTTTTCAAAAATTATTTAACTTCTTTATTGTTGCTTTCCAGTTTGATGAGAGAGAGAAAATAAAAGTAAGAAAGCAAACCACCAGGTCTGAGACTCAAACCATGATTGACCATGTGGGAGTCCAGCACCCTTAACCCCCACACCACCTACTGGTCCCTATAAAGCTAGAATGTTATGTAAAATTGCCCAAATTTTTTAATTTTAGAAATTAGTTTTTAAAATCATTACTGTACAAGCCAATGAGACATATATGTGAGCTGAATCCTTGGTTTGGGGCCAATGAAAGTTTAAAAGAATTAAGAAGGCCTTTACTTAGAGATAACAAATTGCAGTGGATCTCGATTTGTAGTTCTGAGACTTTCCGTATTTGGGGTACATCTTATAAAGGTGCTACTAAGTTCCACCTTGTGATAGCCATACTACTATAAGGACTAAATTCGTAACTGAGGCAAAGTAAGAAATACACATTTAAGTTTCATACTTAATAAGTATGTAGAGCATCTGTCTAATCCTGGAAGAATGGAAAGAGGGGCCCATGCATGTTAATGATAATGTGTATATCCTCATGCAAAGTGAATATATGCTCTCCTGAATTTATCACAGAAGAGATGAGAATTATGAGAATATGTTCTCCAGTCCCATTACCACACTGGACTCTGGTAACCATTGCAGTCAGTGAAGGCTAACTGCTGAAACAACTCCCAAATTTCAATGACTTAACACAGTAAAACTTACTTTTTGCTTACTTTAGTCTTCTGGAAGTCAGTGGTGGAGAGAAGGGTGGTGGGAAGAGGCTTGTTTTCTGCTGTGTTTGAGGTTCCCAGACTCATTCCTTGTATGGATTATACCATCCTCTAGCACCTTGTGATCCTACACTGGATTTTTGCTTACAGCTGGCAAATGATCGAAGAGAGAGAATTGGGCAGAAGTATTTTTATTTTTAATGCCAGAGAACACAAAGATATACATAAGAGAGGGAAACAGCACAGGGAGAGAGTGTATGCACAGCTATGTACCCCCCAACAGAGCCTGGTCATGCTGCAATCCTTTTTCTTCCGGTTCTCCATCCTATCAGGATCCTGGGCATGCATATATGCCTAAAATGTTCTATAAGCTACCTGGGACCAGAACTTAAATCCTGGCCAGCCATTGGGATCAGGCTTCCTCTGTGCAGCATCTAATTTCTGTGTTAAGTGGCTGGCCCTCAGGCAGAAGCTTTAAGGGGCCCAGGCCACCAGTGTGGTGTATAGCACTCCTGTGCATGTTCATTCACTGGTGTTTATTCATGTAGTCCAACTAACCACAAAGAGGTCTGGGAAACATGGTCTGGCTTTGTGACTAAGGGAAAAAGAGTTTAGTGAACATGTCATCTCCACCGTTCTTTGACATAGTCTGGTCTGAACTAATACTGACACCATGTATAAACTTGGATTACATTTTTTTTTTAATATTATGCATCAGGTCCAGGTGTATTGTAGAAGAGTCATTACCATTAGTTTTTTTATTTCTCTTATTTCCTGATATTAGGAAAGTGAAAGAACTAATGAGCTTTGTTCATTGTTCTTAAAGCCTAAAGGTTTGTGAATAACCTGATTCTGACTTCTAAATACAGAAACAGACCTCTCTTGCTTGACCCAAGTATAATTAACAGTAAACTTAACAGTATCCAGACAAACTAATGTACTGATGAGAAGTCTTGGCCTCTTGTCCTAGATTTTTTTTAAGTTTGCTGTAGGGTACATATGCTTCCTAGAGAGACAGAATGAGAGAGGGAAAGTAAGAAATCACCCCCCCCCGGGGGGGGCATACCTCAGTCCTTCTATTCTCTAAATTTGGGGCATGCATGCACATGTCCCTGGTGTGATTTTCTTTTCTTTTTAAAAATTACTTATTTAATTTTATTATTATTTTAATTTATAATAGGGCATGTGCACTCACCAGAGAAAGAAAGTGAGGGGGAAAGTGAGAAAACAGGCTTGCAGGTCTGGGACTCAAATTGTGGTCAGCCATGTGAGAGTCCAGTGCCTCAACTACGACACTACCTGCTGGCCCCTTGGTGGGATTTTCAAATTGCCAGGTCCTGGACCTGGCATCTACATGTATGTGGGATCTAGCCACCTTAACTACCATGCCACCAGCTGGCCCCAAAACACCAAGACTTCTAATGGAACTTTTAAAAAGTAAAAGAACAAGCTATATCTTTTAATAGTTTTTCTTCCTTTCAGATGGGCCATATTTCTCAATGATCACATTCGTTTGAAATTTTTTTCTATTTTTTTTTTTTCAGCCTGCAGGTCAGGAGTCATCTTTTCCCCCTCCTGGTCAGTATCCATATCCTAGTGGCTTTCCTCCAATGGGAGGAGGTGCCTACTCAGCAGCACCAAGCAGTGGCTATCCTGGAGCCCCTGGCTATCCAGCACCTGGAGGTTATCCAGCACCTGCAGGTTATCCAGGTGCCCCGCAGGCAGGGGGCGCTCCACCCTATCCTGGAGGTGAGTTATGAGTCATGGAATTTGTAATGATTTGAGATCGCTGAAACATGTTTTCCTTCTTATCTTCATTCACATATGTATGTGAATGAGGTAAGTCATTTGTATGAGGTGAGAGTCATTCTTAGCAGTAAGGACTTAGCGGGTAAGATAGAAAGATAAAGGTTCTCGGGGCATGAAAGCTGGAAGCAATCTCCGAGATTCTTTTTTTTTTTTTTTTTTTTTTTTTTTTTTGGGGGTTTTTTTTATGGGC